CTGGATGAAAGGCGACAAAATCTCATGGAAAAATGTACGAGTAATGTTATGAATGATAATGGTCCAGAGATAATAGGTAGCCTTTTCGAAAAGTGCAACAATTCTAATTATAATTTAAGAAGTAATGGCAAATTTCTAAAACTGTCAAAACCAAATACAAACTCTATGAAGAGAAGTTTTAGTTATATGGAGGCTAAGACCTGGAATCAGCATCTAAATGATAAATTGTAAATATTATAATTCTATTCTCTTACTTGTAAATATTACACGGCCCTATGAAAATCAATATCAATTGATAGGTTAGGCCATATAAAATAAATTCCTTGATTCTCATCACCGCCCGACGATATTTTGGTTTCCGCGTTGATATATTTTTGTATTTTGTCATAAAATATAAATTTACCGCCCGACCGAGCATCTTCAGAGATTTAGTTATTTTTATATTTTATATTGGAATTTTTGCGATATAAAATTGTTTTGCCGTTAATATTGCAACATGTTAAGGGATGCTTGGAATACTGAAGGAAAAAATGGGCTTATAGCCTTATTACAACGATTTGTGTGGACCCTTATGCATGTTCATTAGCGCATGTGCAATTATCCACTTATATAGCGTTCTTCTATAATATATTTAAAAGCAAATATAAAAAGACCTCCCTCTCCAATTTTTTTAATTTTAAACTTTTTTTTTATATTTTGACATAAAATATAAAATATAAACCTCCCGCCTCCTGGGAGATTTTAAAATTTAGCGATGAGAATCAAGGAATTTATTTTATATGGCCTTACCATGTATAAATATAATTAAATACAAATACAAATACTTTGACGCCTGTGGCTTCGCACCGGAATTTAATTACTGTCGATTGTAGTAACGACGTTGAGGGCAAATCTTTATGTATAAATCGTGTTACCTACGTCCCAAGTATATTGTTGTTGAACACAATGTCATTGGCACCAAAAATAGATGAAATTCATCATTCCGTCGTAAGTACAAATATCGACATAACAAGTTTTACCAAGACATGGTTGAGTGATTCCATACAAGACACTATTGTTCAAATTCCTGGTTATAATATTGCTTGGAAAGATCGACTTATTGGACAGCACGGTGGAGTATGTTTATATATTAAAGAAAACATTTCTTATGAAGTCTTCAATGATTGCCATCAATTTCCCAATTTTACCCTTTAAGTGGCAATGCGCCCTACTTTATTTTCTTACTATGTCTAATGCCAGATGATTTCACTTGTCAGGGGAGAGTGCTGCCACTCAATAGGTTAAAGTCAATTTGTTTATCAGCTCGATTTTGCTGCAACAGGTAAAAAGTGTGTTAAGTACACAGAGCAAAGTTTTTCACAGAGCTGTTGCCAGTGGTCTTGGTCAGATGTTATTCTCTCAACATTCATGCCTACTTTGGTGTACACCACAAAATTACACTGTTTAGTTCCAGTCAGTCCCATCTGTCCTTGCACCTGATCATAGTATGAGGTTTTTCTTAAGTTTTGGTGTATCGCCTTGAAATTTCAAGACAATAGTTTTTATCACTGCATGCATCAATTGGAGTCACAGTAAATTTGAAGCTTGGACATTTAATTTCTAGTAGCCCAAACTCATCTCCATTGCTACCAGCATTAGTATCAATTACTTTTCCATCAGGCAATCATCCAAGAATGTAAAGTTTGGGGGAGAGAAAAAAAACAGATTGTTTTACACTAACTGGATGACCAATGTTCTCCATGTATTTCTGGTATTCCCTTTTGGCGATTGGCTCATAGTATATGCCATGCGCAGTGCTTCGAGATTTAAAAGGTTTTGCAGTGATTTGATCACAACAAAATTTTTCAAAGTTCTTTTTTCTCCTTGCCACCTTACCAAATCTTGAGGCTGTAAATCGCAGCTTTCGAGCTTATACCCACTCATTACAGCTGGACTGTTCCCTTGTTTCCTGTTCTAGTTTGTTGGCATCTAGTATTGATACTGTTAAACTATCTAAAAGTTTTTTTCTGTGCATTATCCAAACCTTCTGGCACAGGCAATACATAACTTTCATTCAAATCATCCAGTTGGAAGAATGAATAATCCGGGATGACTGTATGGGTATGGCTTGATGAACTTATTTCAAATGAAGATGTCACATTAAAGTTAGACTCCTGGAATGAGAGTTGCTAGGAGCCAAATGAACCAGCTGGACTGCAACCAAATTTTGTTGGTACTTGTGATGAACTTTCATTCACTTTGCAAGTCTGCATCAATTTCTTTAACAGTTTCTAGAAATTTAGCAACATTTGACTGTTCTTGTTTCCTTACTTCATACAGCTTGCATTTCACACAATCCGTTTTCTTTTCCTCTGTATGGGTTTTCATCACAACAACTTCCATTACTGGTTGTGGTGCGATTCCTTTGACTCTCGGTTGGTGCCATTTGCTGTAGGAATGAAGCGCATGCTGAAGAAGGATTTTCATCGCCCTTGTCTTTCAGGTCAGTTACCTTCTGGCAGTTAAACAGACTGAATTTGCAATCCTTCAGCACTAGTGCCAAAATATGCTTGCAAAACCCAGACTTTCCTGCTGCACATGTAGGACCACAGTATGCATAAATTAATAACATCACCCAAAAACCACACACAAGGCAAGTTTCAGTTCATGAGGGCTTTCATTCTTTTTAAAGCTATGAAAGCATTTGGCATGATAGAAGAAATAGCATTGGTCATATGTTGTCTGAATATTCGTCTTGCAGATAGGCTTTGGCTCTCATAAGCCCTGTAGGCAGTGTGTGATAACTCCCACCACCCACATTTTCCCCAGATTCTTTAATGTGCTTGTCTATCTCCATTCGACTAAAGAATGGTACCTTTGAAAGTGATGTGCCCCAGCCATCTGTAGGAAACTTCAGTGTGTGCTTTGGTTGTGTTGAGGGACCCAAGCTTGTACTGGGCATACTAGTAGATGTGGTTGTGTTGGCCATATGGAGTTGATGAAGCTTGCACTTGGTATACATCATTGACTCGTCGGGATCAACAATATTCCCCTCCAAGCCTCTGCTTACATACTCGTCTACCCTAAAGGTAAAAGTAAACACTGTAAACATGCATGTTGAAAATCAATAAAAACTTATGTATTTTATCACAATTTTAGCATTATTAAAAGCCATTTTATTTACTTGCCTTTTGACAAGTAGCCCTTTCGTCTTCAACCCTTTGGAAGAATCACCGCGACATTGCAGCCAGAACTTAAGCTCAGAATTCTTCAGAGCAGAAGGCTTTTGAACAGAAAGCGCGCTGCTAGGAATATCCTCCTCTGACAACAAGCGTGGTCCACAAAACACAGTATTCATTATGTGATTTTGGAACGATAAACACAGATCCAAAACACAGTGTGTACACAGTATTCTACAACTCCAGAGAACTCCCAACACAAATAATCAAACATATCAACTTTGTTTTTTCTCGCTCTGAATACACTCTGTGGAATTTGCCTAGAACACAGCACTGTTTTTGAAGTCGACCCAAAAGAATATAGAGCTCAAACACATGGTTAATTATGGTCTAGTTTTTCGTAACTTGATACAGATTATAGCACAGCAGGACGTCGTTAGGCGCGAATTTTGCCATAAATTTCATCTTTAGCGGTATCGAATTGTCCATATAGGAAGGAAATATCTTTTTCAGCCAAAAAGTGGGCAAAATTTTTTAAAAACTTCTCCCTCATTGCATTTTTGCGAAATCTGCCCCCCTTCGCTTTCATGTTTGCGGGTGCCATTTTGGAATAAGGTGTATATGAAATGTTTTCTGCTGTTATTAATTCTGTTTTTTATTGGAAAGAACGTAACTCTCTCCACTGTTAATCCAATTTATATGAATGGTAGTCATAAATTTTGCGATAATATTGACTTAATAAAGTATAATGGAACATATTCGCATTTTCACAAGTGTTATATATCATGAAAAATCTTTGGTTTGGTTTTTTGCTAAAAAAAAGGTTTTTGTGCTTGTGCCATGTTATTGTTATTACTAGTGGAAGCAGAGTGACATATGTACATTATACTTAAATTTTAACATTATGAAGTTCGTTGAATTAAGCTATGACATAAAATCGAACAAGTAAATGCAGTGTCTTAAATGTTCAATTTCTCCCACAAAAAAGCTTCTTTTCCTATTTTTTGCACAGCATACGATAGATATGTTGCATTGCTCATGTTACTGCTAATTTAAAGTAAAAAATACCTTAAAAGTAGCCAGAAAAAGAGGTTAAAATAACCTACTTTTGAATGATTGAATACAGTTGAATGTGAGGCCTTATGTGGCCTCATCCAACAATTTAAAACATACATAATTAATTCTATATATCATACTCCTTCGACTTTGTTCTTGCTTCAAGTCAAGGAATGATTGGTAGCAACTTCCAGATATGCCTGAAGGCAAAGGAATGGTGCACATATCCATAGCAATTGGGGACAAAAATGTCGGAATATCTCATGCATCAGTCGGAATATCAAGTGCATGCTTGCTGTAACTGGGCGAAAACAAGTTTTCTACAGAAGAATTACTGGCGCCATGCAGACTAGAGTGCACATTACCCTTTGTTCTTGACGATGCTGGGAGATGATCTGAGGAAAAGAAGAATCTGACAGATCTACTTTTGTATATTTTTAATAGTGCAGGAGTGGCTAACTGCAATAGACTCTGTAACAGTAACACCTCACCAATAATAACTATGAATGACTGGGTATTAGCAGATTTAAATATTGACAAAGCATAAGTATGATAACGTGTGCATCTAACAACTGGTTTTTTCGTTTAGTAATACTCATTTCCCCCCCTCCCGAGTCCTTTCATTCTGGCGCCCGAGCAAGCCAGAATGTTTCTGACATTTCCTTGACTGCACCCATTCTACTAATAGCAATCCGTCCTGTGAAAACACCAGCCATTAAATCGTGTATTGTAATGAGCTAAAATGCAAGATAGACAGTTACTGATAATACCTAAATGAAAACAGTAATGGCATATTACTTACTTGAGCAGTTTTTAGAGGTAATTCGAATATCATTGTATATATCACTGATTTACCATTTTGTACTCTACAATTCAAGAGCTAATTCAAGAGCTGTGATAATACCATTGTTAAACTACAAAGGAATCCTTTTGCAGAGCAAGTACCATATAAGAAGGCCTTAGACGATGCTGTGGTGGAAGCATCAAATTCTGTTGGAGAAATTATAAGGTTTGGAAAAGCACTTAAGAACAGCCAAGATTACTTCGACAATGACATACGTCCATTCCTTCAAGGATTTATTGACGATGCCAGGTTGCTTAGCACCTACACTATCGCATTATTTGCAGCTGAAACGGTAAATTAAATACAAATAAGATATTTATTCAAACTTTGTATCATATATCCTTCACAAAGTATACGACAATTTGTACATCCATTACACAGCCATATTCATTGTGCTATTTTTACGTGTAATTATTACTGAAACAATTCTGTGAACTGAATCATATACACTATACGGGCTGATTGGTCATATACGACGACGAAATTGAGTATAGTGTAAGGTTAGGGGCACCCAACGGCTGGAATGTACTCAGTATGGCAATATGTTGATAGTTTGGTGATTTGCCACACAACCCTAAACCTGAGATAACTGCTGCTTGTTTTTAAATGTTGCTTCGAACACTGTTAATTAATTGAATATTTACCCAAACTCCAAACCAACAGTTCTGACCTCCAAAGAAGTAGACTGTCTTGTTTACACAGCCTACCATCGATAGAGGAAATATTAGATAGAGGGTCAGAGATTGGTTGCTTATAACGATTTTCTAATATTTGTATAGATACTTGAAAGCGCAAATTGTGAAGAGGAAAAGGCTGACTTAAGGGTTCACATTAGAAACATCATCTACCCTCATGGAATCAAGCATTCCCAAATAGAAAATAACAATATCTAGACAGCGGATCATCTTGGCTTCATTGAAGAACTGTTGAACATCGTATCTGACTGGTCCCCAGTAACAACTTGTGTGTTTTTATCTTTGGAAGTTAAAGCAACATGATTGAAAAAATATTGCTTAGCTTTTTAAAATATGTTGTATTGTTACTTCAGCTTGCGGAAGTCAGTCAGCGGAAGCAACAGAAAGTAACTACGGCATTCTAACGTGCAATAAAAGCAAATCTCTTCCTACAAACACCCAAAACAGTATTCCATCTGGCGATGAAAGTGAATCTCTGCCTACAGACACCCAAAATGGCATTCCATCGGATGATGTAAGCATATCTCTGCCTACACAGACTCAAAATGGCATGCCTACACACACCCAAAACAGCATTACCTTGGGTAATGAAAGCGAATCTCTGTCTACACACACCCAAAACGGCATTCCACTGGACGATGAAAGCGAATCTCTGGCCCTCGCACCCAAAACAGCTTTCCACTGGGCGATGAAAGTGAATCTCTGTCTACACACACCCAAAAATGCACTCCATTGGGCAAGGAAAGTGAATCTCTGCCTCCACACACACAAAACTGCACTCCACTGGCTGACGAAAGTGAATCTCTGCCTACACACACTCAAAATGGTATTCCATCGGGCGATGAATGTGAATGTCTGCCTACACACACTCAAAACGGCATTCCATCTGGTGATGAAAGTGAGTATATGTCTACAGACATACCAAGCGATCCTGCAGGTGCCAATAACAATTTGGATGACAGTGGACTCTTTCATTAAGGTATGACATCTGTTGATGAGTTCTGACTCATACATGAATCTACATTCAAGGTACCAAGGCATGCATCCATGTTTAATACATGCTACATGGGTAGATAAAGGTTTTATTATATGGGAATGCAACAGACAGGAATCTGTTTGATTCTATTCTAACTTAGATTAAACAACCCTAGATTAACATCAGTACTGTGAAAAATGTATGTGTTGGGATGGCTCATGTTAAAGTGTTTATGCAACAAAATTTTGGACATCGTTTTTTTTTCACAAATGTGAAAGACCAAGGTGCCTCGAGTACTATGCAAAAAAAACAAAATTAAAACCAGACATATAGAACTCATTTTATAACGTCTCAAAAATAGTGATTTTGAGAGTTACTTGCGAAAATTGATCGCAGCTGCGTGATGTCACAAGTAGGACGCAATAATCCGCAAAATGGAAATAAACATGGTGAGCAAAGGTGAATCTAACCATCACAGTGGCAAATATTGTGTCATTGGCGGACCACATAATGTGAGCTGTACGAATGTCCAACACACAAAAGAAGTCTCAATCCATAAATTACCAAACATGACTAAAGAGCCTAAAAGACACACCAAATTGGTTAAATTTGAAATCGGACGTCAGTATTATGTGGCAGCATTTCAAAGATTTGTGTTTCAAACAAAATAGAATTATTGCAGCTTTGCTGGATATAAAGACAAGGTTAAAGTGTGATTCAATACCAACACTTGACAACGCAAAAGAAGTCATGCAGATAGAGAAATCACTTTCAAATAGGAAACGTAGAAAGCTGAGAATTTAAATATATAGACTGAATATATTAATAAATTTATATATGTTTGATACTCTGGGGCCGGTTGTATAAAAACGTTATTAGCGCTAACTGTACTTAGCGCTAATCACTGTAGTTAAATCCTTAACTGTAATTAGTTAACTACATGACTTAACTGCATTGCACAAAACGTAGTTAGTCGGATAGTTAACTAATCACATAGTTAACTGTGCGTGGAGCTTGCGTGGGGGAACACAAAATTACATAAAGTAAGCAGCGAACAATGACTGCTGACATGCATTTTTAACATGATTGTGGACTCATATTTTGCAAATAGGCAGGAATTTTATTCAAAACACTAGAAAGCAGTGAAAAATAAACAAGGAAACAAGGAAAAATATCCACAAAAATCATAAAAGAATGCAGTTTTTCCTTGAGATGTCTACGTTAAACCAAGGTATAGCTGTTTGGCAATTATATATCAGTGTTTCTTGGTGTAATGGACCATACTTCGTCTTCGAGAAATCCTCCTGTGCAAAAATATGTTCTGTTTTCGTAAAAACACCAAAGCGATAGCGTTTGAAGAGTTTATATTATCAGGAAACATTGACAGGGAAAATAGCGATTGAAAATCTCAGGTAAGTGTTGCTTTTCATTATTGTTTTACTGAAAAATGTTGTTCACTCCTATACAAATGCCATTTTTAACTACGTTTTGGACAGTTAACTATACGCTAAAGCATAGTTAACTTTAATTACTTTTTAACTGCAGTTAAGACTAACTACACTTTTATACAACCGGCTTAACTATGTGATTAAAGTTAACCACTTTTTAACTACTTTTTAACTGCAGTTAGCGCTAACTACATTTTTATACAACTGGCCCCTGGTGTACAATAAACTGTAAACATGTTTGAGATTGCTGTTTTCATGAATTGCATTGTTTTGTTCTAGATTATGTGTGCTATCCCTCTTCAAGTAGGGGACCAAAGTATACTGGAGAAGAGTACGTCTTCAAAAGTGACCGAAATCGAGGACATCACATATTCGCCAAATACTATACATGCATCTGAAAACACACAGGAGCGATTTTTGCCAAATGAGCCTGAATGCCATAGCTGTACAAAATTAAAGGCGAAAGTTGTTAAGCTGCAGAAGAAAATAAGCTACCTGACGAAGAGACAACAAGAACTAATCTCCAGAACTGAAAAGGTTAGAAACACTTTGTTTTGTTTACATTTGGAAACACCCCTTGCTTTCATGCTTTGTTTACCTTTAATTTCCTGCATATTTTTCTGGCAGGTAAATTTTCGATTTATATACAGTATAATAAAATAGATTATGTTTTGCATTGTTTAATCTACAGCACAGAACAATTAATAACAAAACTCTACTGAGAGATTAATATACCTAGGAGTTGTGGCAGGTCATGATTATTATAGAAGAATCAAATTTAACAACACATGCATGGCAAATCCAGAAAGTGCTTATTTTATAGAGTATCAGTAGCCACAATATTTGAATGCGTATTAAACTGTTATGCTGAAAAACAACGGATAATTGAATTAACATTCCAATTTTAATTATGTTAACAAAAACAAAAGCGTGCACACAGCGAATAAATTTCACTCACTTAGCGAACAAATTTTTACATTGTCATTGGTGTGTTAATTAAATTAAACTACCTTGCAATTCCATTCAGAAATGTTAATAATCATGTAAATATTTTCTCTGAAATGTTGTTTTTCTATGCTTAGCATGTGATCTATAACTAAATGCACCATTAAAGCAGTGTTTTGAAAACCTAGTTTTTTTACAAAATGTGTTCTCAGAATGCTGCAAATGCCATTTCCGGGATCCAAATTTAAACATTTTTCCGTACCCCCCCCCCAATATTTCGTAAAGTGTCCGCCAGTGCTATACCTTATGGCTGGCTTGTCTATAATTAAAGATAAGGTCAAGTCTGTTCTGCACATGTGCTATTGTGTGGGTCCCCACATGTAAACATTGCCCATATTTTGCAATATTTTACACATTTTCAATTTGAATTGTCATTCATATTGATTTAAAAGCCCAACCAATCAGAATGATGTCAGATATTAACTAAGTACAGTACAACCTGTTTTTAAGAATAAAGTGTTATCAAAGTGTAAACAAATCATGAAATCACATTTGTTTAATACATACAGGCTTGATATTGCCTTTAATTAAAGTATATTTGAAATCAACCAAAAAATAAATTCCAATTGTATGCGAATACACTTGTCACTTGTGATTGGTAATATGGAATATTCTTGCATTATTTATCAATATTCAATAGTGATCATTTCAATGAGAATTTATTTAAAAATATTTTCTGTAGGGTTTCAGAATGAACAAAACCTGGTGATGAGCCCAAATTTGTAATCTTTTACAATATGTTGGTAGCCATATTCCAGCATTTTTGTTTCCATTTGAAATGCGACAAACCTTCCGTGGAAGTACACAGAATAGGGACAATGGCAAGTGTAACCCAAAAATGCAACCATTGTGGGAAAGTTTACTCTTGGAAAAGCCAGCCATCAATGTTTACAAAGCATCCTGCTGGAAATATTATGTTGAGCTTTGGCATAATGGCATCAGGAGCAAAGATTAACCAAACTTTACTTATGTTTAAGCATATGGGACTCTCTGCTATTTCACCTCGAACCTACTATTACCACCAGAAGAGGTTTCATTTTCCTTCACTGTTGCGCCATTGGGAAATTTACCAGGCCTCTCTTCTTGGCAAACTGAAAGAGATTGGGAAACCAGTGTGGTCAGGTGATGGTCGGTTTAACTCAATGGGCCATAGTGCAAAGTATGGTGTTTATACCATGTACTCCAAGTCCATATCTAAACTGGTTCATTTTGAACTCTTTCAGGTACCAGTACAAATCATTACTAGTTTTTTAAATTTTTAAATAATACCATGATCACCTTGGTTTCTTTTGTCCTCACCAGGTCATTTACTGTTTCACCCTTATTAACCCATTGAGTTGCAATGTGCCCCACTTATTTTTTTTACTTGTCTAACACCAGACGATTTTACTCGTCTATGAGGAAGCTCTGCAGTTTAATGGGTTAACCAAAAAATCTGACAATGTCTCTAGTTAACCCATTGAGCCGCAATGCTCCCCAGTGTACCCTACTTATTTTTTACTTGTCTAACGCCAGATGATTTTACTCATCAATGGGGAAGCTCTGCAGCTTAATGGGTTATTAAAATGCATGAGTAAAGTTCTATACAGTGGAAATAACCTCGGTAATCATGGTACTGCATGTCAAGAAATTAGTGATTAAATGTCCCTGCATGCCTCTGGAGGTTTGTGAAAGTCTCTCAGGCCCTTGTGACATTCACAAACTTCTCTTGGCTTGGAAATTTAATCACTAATTCCCAGACCTGTCCTGGTGTTAATTATAAATATTTCCCATTTCCAAGAAATGAGACTTTTATAGAACTGAGCAGACCTTATTTGTGTTATCAATGGTTTATGCTTTTAATAATTAATGTATTAATAAAAGCCTAAAAATCACACAACCCTCCGGCCTGCAGAACAAAACTGCCCAACACTAGGCATGATGAAATGCATGTCTACATAGAACTGATTAGCTTTGTTGCACTTCAGGCAAATCATTTGGGGTCAAGCAATGCAATGGAGTTGGATGGAGCCAAGCAATGCTTCAAATTTATCACTGAAAAAGGTTTGAAAGTGTCATCCTTTATCAGTGATCGGCACTTAGGTGTTGCTAAATGGATTCATGTAACCCATCCTAATGTACAGCATTACAATGACCTTGGCATGTAAATAAGAGTTTGAAGAAGAAGTTGTTTGATACTAGCAAGGAAAAGGAAACGAGGCAATACAACTTTTGGATGAAAGCTATCAGCCGTCATTTATACTGGTGTGCCCGTTCTACAAGACAGAATTTCGGGGAAATGATTGTTGCCAAATGGGTGTCATTGATTTGGCACATTTCAAACAAACATAATGCTTTATACCAACTGAATTGCAAAACGTCTTAGAAACTAGGCCCAACACACAACAGTACTAAGATGAACCCAAAAAACGACCCAAAGACCAAATGTAAACATAATTTAAATGACTTAATAACAATTACTGTAATTACTATATACAGTCATATAAATATATATAAATATATATGCAGAATAGAACAGTCAGGGTCACGCAAAGGTCACTGCCTGTCATAACATACTGTAACTGTTACACATTTACCCTTCTGTCTCCTTTTGAAGCCCACAAATTAATGAGTACAGCAATGTTGAGTTGCAGTACCAGATCTTTGTTTAGGGTTATGCAGAGGTCCCCAAGTCTGCTTGGTGTCAGTCTTGATCGTAACTTGGAACAGACTCTGTTCATTGCAGAAAAACAACGCTCCACAGTTGCCGTGCTCGTTGCAATGGTGGTCTTCAAGTTGATCAGCTTCAATAGGTTAGTGCATCTCTTTTCACTAAACGGCAGCCCCAGTCCTAAATCTTCTATGGCCCTCAACAATTCCAATTTGAGTATGGATCTGTTAATGTTCAAAAATGCTCGACAAGATAACCCAGGGTCTCGATATCCAAGTAGCACGGTTTGGATGCATCCAAAGCTTCAAACGCTTTCATTATTTCGATGTTCTTGCTGTCGAACCAGATTCGGAACTCTTCTTCGATCTTGCTTTGCATGTAAGTGTTGAGATCGGAGATGGTGCCATTTATTGAATTTGCAGCACTGGTGGATGATGTTGATCTTGTTTGGTGTATTGGAAATCTTAGTTTAAAGATAAAGAGCAAAGCCTAGCAAATAACTTTAAAACAAACATAATAAAAGTAAAAATTTTAATTAGCTAACGTTTCGTTGTTTACAATACAACATCTTCAGAGCAATCTAAGTAAATTTACAGGGAATGGTATATATATATTTACAAAATAATGGTTTAATATTACAAAAACGGTTACATAAGTTGAAAGAACAAATGAATAGAAAGAAAGGAAAACAACTTATCAGTAACTAGTAAATAAGTGAATAAGTAAAGATTAAAATATTTAAGGTCAATATTACATAACTAAAATAACTCAAGAGGGGTAGATCTAATATTAGCATTAAGGACAGGGTTAAGTTGAGAAATTAATAGGCTTTTGCAGATAAGAAGATCCCACTCAGAAGTGCCTGATGATGGAATTTTGAAATCAGAAGCGGAGACTGGGTGTTTGTGCATGTGTTTGCGAGCGAGTATACTAGACATGGTTGAGATAGAGCGTTCTTTTTCAGTCAAAGGCGAGACTCCCATATGCTCTGAGATACATGTGTGAATGTGTCGGCATGTTTGGCCAACATACAATATGCGCTACAGCATTGGCACATGAACTGATACACAACATGTGATCTCAGGGCAATGGGAATCCTGTCTTTAAAGGGAAAGAAACTAGAAAGGTGACAACACATGGAAATATGTGGATAAGCAGAAGCAAGAACTTTACTTGACAGGATTTACAACACCAAGGACATGGTCCATACATGTTCCAAGAAAATTGTTTACTTTTGCCTTCCTTTCATTGGACATCATGATCTTCATATCCGTACACAACTTAGTAAAGTTCTTGCTTCTGCTTATCCACATATTTCCATACCTGTTGTTTTCCGTCCTTCTTGTCGCCTTTCTAGTTTCTTTCCATTTAAAGACAGGATTCATCCATCAGTTCATGCGTCAATGCTGTAGCGCATTGTATGTTGGCCAAACACGCCGACACATTCACACACATATCTCAGAGCATATGAGAGTCTCGCCTTTGACTGGAAAAGAATGCTCTATCCCAACCATGTCTAGTATACTCGCTCACAAACACATGCACAAACACCCACTCTCTGCTTCTGATTTCAAAATTCTATCAGGCACTTCTGAGTGGGATCTTCTTATCTGTAAAGCCTATTAATTTCTCAACTTAACCCTGTCCTAAATGCTAATATTAGACCCACCCCTCTTCAGTTATTTTAGTTATGTAATATTAACCTTAACTGTACTAACCATGCACTTAACATTAATATTTACTTATTAACTAGTTACTGATAAGTTGTTTTCCTTTCTTTCTATTGTTCTTTCAACTTATGTAATCATTTTTGTAATATTAAACCATTATTTTGTAAATATATATACCATACACTGTAAATTCATTTAGATTGCTCTCAAGATGTTGTATTGTAAACAACGAAACATTAGCTAATTAAAATTTTTACTTTTATTATGTTTACTTTTAAAGTTATTTGCTGGGCTTTGCTCTTTATCTACAGAGTGTTTAATTTGCTCTCTGATTTAATTTGTATTGAGTTCTGCTATAATTAAATGTTTTTCTACTCTTCAGTGCAAAAGCTTTGACTTCAAATGAGTCGAAAACAACCGACACAGATAGAAAAACATCTACGAAAGTAATGGCAAATGATTTATCGCTCGGATTCTTGAAATTTTATGGTGCAAATGCAGAAGAGCAAGAAAAGAAACGATGAAATAAAGCTAAATTTTTTGAACATATTTCACAAAGATGATGTCAATGTGGTTATTCATAACTATTACATATACAAAAACAACAATTGTAAAGACATCCACCATCACCCTGATAACAAAATTGGCGTATCTAAAGATAAGAAGTTCCAACACAAGTGGCTGTTTGATCCTTCATTAGCCAAATGCTGTGAAACAAGTATCTGGTGCCTGACATATGTTGAAGGTAAAGGGATGTTTTTGGACTATGCAGAATTCACAGCACCATCCAACCCAAAAATAGATTGAAGGTGTGGAACAACCTCGTTCCCAGGGTATTTGCTCTTGGGAAGCAAAGACCCTGGTGGACGCTGGTCACATGATCTGCTAAAATCTAATTTAATTAGCATTGTTTTGTCAATCTGAGAGGGGTGGGAATGTAGTAATTGACATTCGCCAGGTGTATCATTGCTGTTTATTTCACTTTACGTGTATTAATAAACATGATTTATACAATTATATGACTGTTGAAATACTCGAAAGCATGCATCTATATGGCAAGTAAATGTCCTTCAACACCAAAGAAAATCTACAAGTCTTCTGGTAATCATGCAAAAAATTGTCGCCTTTGTGGAAACGTTGGGGACACGAAGTTTTCAAAAAATCTTTTTAATCGCGGAAATGCCTTTTGCAGAATCTTCACTTTGTTCTCCGCGCACACTGGTTCACACGCAATAACATTCAGGGGACTGTGTTCTATCAATTTATTTCATTGGAAAGATTTTCTATTTACAACGTGATTTTAGACTTCCTCGTCTCGCTACGATCTGATCACAACTGAATTTACATATTAGCCTCAATAATAGTATTAAATTACAAAGAATCACTATGACGTATTTTAAGCAATACTATATACATATATTTACATTAAGTAACAGAAGTGCAACTGCTGTGCGGAAACCTGGGAACTTACAACACCCCACCCACCTTGATTCATAAAGAATTCATCTATGAATGAAGCATCGCCCTTGTCTTCACTTTTGAAATAACAGCTGCAGCTCATCTTGGACAATCATGCAAAGAACCTTCTGACTCAGCTGGAGGGGAATTCCCTTCCTTCCCTTTCCTACCTGGTCGAGCTTGAATCTCTAACAGGTAAAGTTTCTGGACCGGTCTTTTCAGGTAAACTGGTCTACCCTTCCCTGCAACTCTTACTTTGGCCCCTCTAACTTCCTTGTCCTTACCTATAATTAGTTATTCTACTTTCGCTATTTTCCAATTACCTCGTTTCTCTCCTCCATACACTGTCACTACATCTCCCTTCTTCACACTCTTTCTCGCATTTCTACATTTGTGAAATTCTCTCAACCCTGTCAGATACTCACTTTGCCACCTCTTCCAGAAATGTTGTAATTTCAACGTAATATACTTAAATCTTTCTGCACTGCTATGTTCCTCTCTAATTACTTCCCTCTGTGGCATGAAGTTAATAGCTCTACCATAAATTAGGTGTGACGGTGTCAAAACTTCTCCTTCACACTATTCATACTCATCTGTTAATGGTCTAGGATTTAATGTACCCTCTATCTCTACTAGCGCTGTGGTAAGTTCATCTACTTAGAACCTTTCTAAGACACTGTTTAACACTCCAAACCATTCTCTCAAAAAATCCTCTCCACCAAGGCGCTCTTTCTAAATTAAACTGCCATGTTACTCGTTTGGTTTGCAATTCTGTCTTAACCTAAGGCCGGCGCACACTAGAGCTATGTGCTTAGCAAAATGTCATTCGTGACTGTTGGCGTAAGGAGATAGCTCTCGTGTGCGGGCGATTTACGACTTTTGTCATTAGTGCCACTTACGCCAAATATCTAACATGTTTGATAATTTCTGCCTCGCGTGCCAAAATCTTTCCGTGTGCGGTATACAAAAGTAAACATCCAAGATGGCGGCGCAAAATGAATTGCTGGCCGAGGCAATTTTAGAGGACAAACTTACTGGCTATTTCTTTCACCGCACATTCCTTTTTGTCCCTATTTCTAAAATCTGCAGAACTCACATCGTATAAACATTTGTATTCAGGCCAAAGTTCGACAAGTTTGTCCTCTAAAATTGCCTCGGCCAGCAATTCATTTTGCGCCGCCATCTTGGATGTTTACTTTCGTATACTACGCATGCGCTGTTACGACAATCCGTAAGCAGATAGCTTTCGTTCGCCGCACACGGAAAAATTTTGGCACGCGAGGCAGAAATTATCAAACATGTTAGATATTTGGCGTAAGTGGCACGAATGACAAAAGTCGTTCGTAAATCGCCCGCACACGAGAGCTATCTCCTTACGCCAACAGTCACGAATGACATTTTGCTAAGCACATAGCTCTAGTGTGCGCCGGCCTTTAGGTTGGTTAAACAACCGTCTAACTGCCCTTTCTGCTTCCTTAAACGTTTTGGCATTGTCAGATACTATAAGGCTTGGCATTCCTCTCCTAGCAGCAAATCTCCATAGACAACTTAAAAATGTCTCTGCAGACAAATCCCTAACTAGCTCCAAATGTATAGCTCTAATCACACAACAAGAAAACAATGCTATATAATCTTTACTTGGACATTTTGCACAACACTTTACAAACAATGGACCTAATCTCTTACAGGTGACGCATCTACCTAAAATCCGCTTCACCACCTTTCACAACCCAATATTTTGTCCTTAATCTTCCTAAGGTTGCCCGTACACCACAATGATGCACTTCACTGTGACATTTCTGCACAATCAATTCAGTCAGTCTGTGGTCCTTGGGTATAATGATTGGGTGTTTGGTATTAAACTCTAACTCACTCAGAATTATGTAATCTACCTTTACATCTCAGAATGCCTTCCTCTTCTATCAAACCTAAACTATTACTCAGCTGGGTGTACTTTCTATCTACTTTCAACCCTGCCTGAGCCTCTTTAATCCATATACTCTCTGCCTCAACTAACTCATTCACTGTCAACTCTCCACTTTGCCTATCAATGCCCCTTGCTTTTGCTCGTATATTAAATCCAAACCTAAGTACCCAAGCTGTTACTCTAAAAAGTCGTTCCGCTGTCCCATAATTATTCAAGTCAATCACTCTACTTACACTAGATGGCTCTGTCACCTCTACAACCATTACTACAGACTTTCATTCATCTTCCAAAACTGTCTTTGTCTTATCAGCAGCCTCAATTTTTGGCTAATGTGGCCCACCCACCATAGCTTGTTATCTTTCAGTTGTGAAGCAATTACACTGCTAGACCCAATATCAGCAGGATTTTCAACCCCGGTACAATGCCCCCAAATCCCCTTGTTTGTTAGCTTTAAGATCTCATTTACTCGGTGGTGGACAAATTGTTTCCATTCACCCCTGTTCATTATCCAGTAGAGTGCTGTCATACTGTCAAACCAAAACTTGGTACTATCTATCCTAACCTGGTTTTCAAGTGATGCTTTTACTGACTTCATAATCTGCGCTTAGAGCCTCGCTGACATTAACTCTAACCTGCGAATACTAGTTGCTTTTAAGGGAGCTACTCTTGCCTTTGATGTCAATAAGCGGGCACAAACTCCTACATTAGTACGATACACAAAATATACAACTGCACAGTATGCCTTCATGCTCGTATCGCCAAATCCATGCAAGGTAAACTCCAAAACATCTTCTGCACTATGTTGATATATACAGCGAGGAATGGTAATTTCCTTAGTTTCTATCAAATCCCTGTACCAACTCTCCCACTTATGCAGTGACTCATCAGTGAAGTTTTCATCCCAATCAACTTTATCCTCACATACTTCTTGGAACAATATTTTGGCACATACAATCACTGGACTAACTATTCCGAGAGGATCAAATAAACTTGCTAAAACACTCAATAGATTTCGCTTTGTAGGTGATAAGGTTTTTGCCCTTTCCCCCACCTTCGCAATCTCAAACTTAAACTCATCGCTTTTGTTATCCCATGCCTGTCCTAACACCTTATGGCATTTTGATTCACATCCTGTTACTCCAAGGGATGGTTTTGCATATGATTATGATCCTCAACCATGTGTTTTATCTCACATTGGTCTGTCTCATGCACCTTAATTTTACTTTCCAATATATTACTGTTAGTAGACCACTTTCTTAGCCTGAACCCCCCTTGTGCCATTCTACTCCTAGTCTTATCATATAACTGAAATGCTTTAAATACCGTACTTTCCCCACCAACTAAATCGTCTACATAGAAACTTTCTAGCACCTTCACAAACTCAGGATCTGTTTCAAGATACTTTGAAACATGATGCTTTAATGTTGTATTGAGTAAGAATGGTGATGCATTCAATCCAAATACTACTCAACAAAACCTATAAACAACTGTTTCCCACTTATCACTCTCAATATCATTTACTCACAAAAACCTCAAACTATCTCGATCTACCTTGTCAACCTCCACATTCAAAAAAGCCTTTTCAATGTTGCCTACTAAAGCAATCCTGTTTTCTCTTAACCGTATCAATATGCTATATAGTAATGGATTGAGGGATGGCCCAACATGCAAGCAGTCATTAAGTGATGTTCCTGATTTACATTCTTTAGATGAAGCATCATATCAACTTTCTCTAATGCTGCTACTGGTTCTACAATCCCTTGCTCTACCTGTTCTCTGATTATAGAATCGTACTCTGTCAACAATGCTGGCTCCTTTAGTCGTCGTAACTGATTCTTCATTCTACCTAAGCTATTTGCATAATTGTCAGGCAATTTGTCATGGCTTTCCTTCCAGGGTAGTTTCACTGAATATCTACTACCTGTGAAAGATATGCCATCTAAAAACTCCTCATGAACCTTATCTTCCTCAACTTCCTCAGCTTCTGTAACATTACTCTCCAAACTATCTTCATCATTCATTCTCTGAGCTACAAAATTTACTTGGGCTAACTCTGCTCCCTCTATGTCTTGCACTCTCAAAGGCCCTGATAAAACCCATCCTAACTCAGTTTCTATGGCAACTGGCTCTCCTGATCTACCTCTCTTGGTTACACCTGTCTGAAAATTACAGAGGTAATCTGCCCCTATCAACACATCTATCTCTAGCTCACCCACCCTGGCACTTCGAGACATCTGAAAACCATATACCTTTCAAATGTGGGTATTCTCTTCTTGCCAGTTCTACATGGCTATTCTGTATTCTAAAAATTTTTGGCACTACAAATGCTTCTAAGCAGATAACCTTATTCCTGTTAACAGGTTCAAGCTTTAATTCGACCACCTCCCCGTGCTCGGCATTGGTACATTTTTGACCGAACATATTAATCCCTAACAATTCCCTTCTTTAGCCCTTGGGATTCACAATAACTTTCTGTCGTTAGTTTGGAATGTCACGCAACTTCCTCACATGATAGAACTTGCCAGTCCTAAAAACCCTATTGTTTTTGTTTTTCGATTTTGTTACATTTTCGCAGGAAAATGACGTGCCAACTTTGGCGCCAAAAAATTAAACATGAGCTAAGAACATGTTAGTAACTTTTTTGAAAGGATTGTCCTATAAGGATTTCAAAACTGTAAAAAGATTGAAAATATAACAAGGCTGTGCGAAGATATGACGATTCAAAGTTTGAAGAAAATCTATTTTTAGTAACAAAATGGCGGATTTTTCAAACTTTTAAGCACCATATCTTTGCACTGCTTTGGCGTATTTTCAATGTTTTTACAGTTTTGAGATCCATATAGCACAATTTGTTCAAAAACGTTCCTGGCATGTTCTTAGCCCGAGTTTAATTTTTTGGCGCCAAAGTTGGCACATCGTTTTCATTTTTTAGGACTGGAAGTTCTATCATGTGAGGAAGTTTCGTGACATTCCAAACTAACGACAGAAAGTTATTTGAACGTGGCCGAATTAGCTGTCTTTTTTGCCCACCGTGTGTCACTCCTTAAAACCCCGCGTGCAGTTTGCAAGGCAACCAGGCTACCAGTTCCCACATGCAAGTTACTACTGGAACTAGTCACATGCACATTTATTATTAACAGGGACCTGTTTAGATTCTTCGTCAGGTTCGACTGTTTTATCATGTTTATCATCTTTTTTAGGGCTTGCATCACATAATGCAACATGATGTGCCCCATTGCACACATTACACCTATTTTTAACAGTATAATTACTGGCTCTATGGCCCTTAAATAAACAAAGAAAACATCTACCGTATTTACAAGGCAAACTCTTTCGTGTCTTCGGTTCTTTCACTCCCTTGCAGTCTTCATGATTGTGGTTCTTCAAACAGAAGTTTTGTAATTATCGTGATACTTCGGGTCGTAATTGTCATGACACTTCGGGTCATAATTATCATGATACTTCGGGTCGTAATTTATTATTAATGCCGTTACCCGCCTGCAGCATTTCAATTTTTTCGCGGGCTGTAATTTCCTGAGCATGCGCATTAGTCTCATGTGGTGACCACAAATACAAAATGTTGGGGAATACCTTCGAAAAAGCATGAAGATTCTCTAGAATTAATAAGAATGCATGCGCCGTTGACCAGTTCGAAATGGAATTGACATTTGTGAGGGATAATTTTTTTGTACCTTAACTGATGTCAGTCCTGAAAAATTTTTTTGACCCTTAGTTTTTTAAAAATTAAAAAAAAATTTTGACCCTTTTTCCCCAACACTTTTTGAAAAAAAAAAATTCGAGCAAGAGATGATTTGAAAAAAAATTAACGACACGAGCAAAGATATTTGAAAAAATAATCGTACAGGTTGGAAATGTCATCCCCAATCACTTTTCTAATGGTCCGTCCCTTAATGTATTTTTTGCAGAAGCGACCCAGCCCTACATGTAAGAGGGCTGATTTTTGTCAGTAAACACATCTATATGTAAACTCCCCCTATAATGTTCCTCTGAACAACAGTGGCGCTGCCAGCTCAATAATTTTTTTTTTTTTGGGGGGGGGGCGCATATTAATTTATTCATGTTCACAGACCTTAAAAATAATCGATCCCCCCCCACACACAATTATTGAGCTGGTTGGCGCCACTGCTGAACAAGTTTTAATTGAATTTTGTCTTGACTTAAACAAATGTAAATACCATTTATTGCACTTTGCCAATGGCCTCACTTTCATATGGATAATTTTCTGCTGTTTTATGCACAAATGGGCTTAGGCAAATGGGCTCAAAATCAAGCAGTGCATTTTTTAGGGATTCTTCAGTGGTGGGGCAAAACTGTCAAAGGGCTCATTCTCTCCTTGCTCCCTCCCCCCCTGGGTAGTATCCAATCGCTGAAGGTGTGAGCCAGGTGTCGAAAGCACGAGTTAGCTAGGGGGTCTGGGAGAAATACCTCCTGGAAAATTTTTAAAATTGGAGTCTCTGAAATGGCATTTCCTGCATTCTGAGAACACATTTAAAAAAAAACTCAGCTTCTCAAAACAAAGTTTTAATGCTGAAAGAGTTTGTAATAAATTGCATGCTAAACATTCAAACACAACATAAGTTTAAGCATGCTCACCAACAAATTGTTGTTTAAACTTCTTTGCAATGTTAAACTCATTTACTCAATACAGGTCCTAGGGCCCTGACTTTGGGGCAATAGGCCTTTTTTTCTACAGTGGTGGGGCAGAGGAAGGGGCCCAGTGGGGCAAATGCCCCACCAGTCCATGGTATTAAAAAATGCCTTGAAATCAAGGAGAATATAATTGTGTGTGAAACATTTGGATACAGGGCTTTAGATAGTACATAATGTGGGAACACACTATACTGCATCTGCAGGAACTAGGAGCACCAGACCTGACACAGTATCTTGCCGTTAAGACCAGATCACAGCAGTGGTATAGAATTGAAATGCTAATGAGGATTCTCGAAGGGGACAGGGTTATGGTATGGGGATGACAAGGCATTATGGGTCAACATTATAAACATGGAAAGTTCCAGTATTTATTTTCAGTTCTAGTGTAGTGAAGCTATTTCATGTTAAAGCCACATAAATGATCTCATAGTAGGATCATAGTAATCAAGTACAGATTAGTATTTAGTAAAATTATTATCATATCATTTCAACACATATTACTGCTATTTGCAAGCTACCCGATTAGGCGCGAAATTTTCCTCACTTTTGTTTATGTTTCAAACGTTCAAGTTCTGACTGGAAAAGGTTAACGTTTTGAGCAAGCCAATCAATGTTTGGCGGTGTGTTCAATGAAACAGTGCTAAGATCATGGCAAACGTTTACCGGTTGGCTTAAATTGCTAACATTTTCTGGTCAAACCTGCCCGTTTCATATGTTAACAAACCTGAAAAAAATTGCACACCTAATGGTAGCTTGCAAACAGCAGTATTTTGCATAATGATGCATTTATGCTAAAATTTTGGAGGCTTAGCCCCCCCATTATAGCAAGAGGGGAGTTAGGCAAGGGATTTGCTAACAAACATGAAGTCCCAATAAGGCAACCCTGCATTTTACTGGTTTTCAACAACAAGATCAAACTGTATTCAGATTCAATTGTGTGTTTTATTCATAAAAGAAATGCATTTCCTGGTTTGGCAAACAGACCAAAAAGACCTGCAAATCCATTCAATACTCCTCAGAAAACATCCAAAAGACCATTCATACCAGCAAAGGAAACCTGGACGCATGACATGTGTGTTACATGATATGAATGCTAAGTTTACCCCAACAAAAGAGGAGCTTGAGCAATTACGGCAGGCTGGATTGGGGCGAAAGAAAGTTGTGTTTCCTAATAAGAATGCAAATTTTAAAGAATTTTCTGAAGTTATTATCGAAAAGTACCCAAAGCTTAAAGATGGTGGGGGTTTCCAGTTACTCCGTGCACTTGGTGGAGGAGGAGGTGTGAGACATCTAGATGTAATCATTCCTGGATCAGTTGGCTACTCCATACCTTACCTGCGAGAAATACATTGTTTGGGGCAAACGATCTTATATGTCCAGCCATTATTTAAAAAGAAAAATGGAGGAATATGCTGGGAGCCAGGCAAACCCGCGAGGAGTGACCGTATTTATGATGACCCAAGGCACAGATCTAGAATGACCCAAAGTATTACCAACCTCGCATCATGGTAATTTAATACGACCTGAAGTATCACGATAATTACGACCCGAAGTATTAAGACAATTACGACCCGAAGTATCACGATAATTACGACCCAAAGTATCACGATAATTACGACCCGAAGTATCACGATAATTATGACCCGAAGTATTACGACCCGAAGTTTCACGATATTTACGACCTGAAGTATCACGATAATTACGACCCGAAGTATCACGATAATTATGACCCGAAGTTTCACGATAATTACGACCTGAAGTATCACGATAATTACGACTTGAAGTATTAAGACAATTACGACCTGAAGTATTAAGACAATTACGACCTGAAGTATCACGACAATTATGAAACATGTTGAATTACAATGTAAAGATGTACGTTACGGACAATCAATCAAACTTTACAACTTCCACACGATCAAGAGTTATTTTTGATAGTGATAACCCCTCATATAATACAATATAAAGCTGTGGCAGTCCTAGACGATTTCCTTTCATAAAGCAACTGAGGAAAGGATTTAATTCAAATAAACAAGTGAGGAAAGACATCACATTGCATTAGTAGTCTGAAAACAAACATGATTTGGAAGCTGGACAAAAGGTATTGTAAGTTCTAAGTTTTTGTTTGCCTTCATGGAAATTTGTGCACTTTCACAGTGAGTGAACATTTTGTTCTGTACAATGAAACCTTAGACTTCAGGATTTTAATATTGATCAACAAATTGTGTACTTTCAGGTATATTTCAAGTTTTCAACATCAATTGAAGTTTGGTTAGGAAACTACTTGAAGTTTACCAATCCTCCTAGCAATGTGTATTTTCTATTAACTATGATTGCATTTAGTTGTGCTTTTATATAATATAATCACTGACAGACACTTTGTGTAATATTGGGTGCCAGGGGAAAAAATGTCGATCTTTTGTTTATTCCATGAGAAGACGGAGTATGCAAGATCTGCCAGTCAGGAGAAGTTGAAACGGAACATCACTCCCTAACTTCCTGTGAAGCCTATAGTAGTCTTTGTGAAAACTTTTTAAATTACTTGGAATGTGATCCCACCGAT